GTCAACCGAACAGTCAAGATGTCCCACAATGTAGCATTCATCAACAAACAAGAAATATTGGCAATTATTTCTCAGTGCCAAGAATACAACAAATTTACTATCTGCGAGAGAAAACAGCTGGTCGACATATCCAACAACACCTGCGAAGCTCCATTACTACGGGAACAGTATGGGCAATGCGATCTATCGGAAAAACATTCGTCAACAGAAATCAAGCTAATAGCCCCAGGCACGCTGTTGGTGATAACCGTTCACCAAGACGTAACCATCAACAGCACATGTGGCGCAAATACCAGAAAGTTGACCGGAATACATCTGATAGCATTCCATAATTGTTCCTTGTATGTAAAAGGCGTAACAGACAATACCTGGAAAAATTAGAATTCAAACATAACATCGGAACCATATCGTTCAGCGTCATTATCATCCTCTTAGCAGCACTTTTAAGTTTTGGAATCATCAAATACCGACGACTCATCAAACTGGAACATTGCTCGGGACGATCAATTCTTATGGGGGGAGCAGTTAAACACGAACCTTCCCCGGACTTATCCTCTGGAGGGCCGCCTGACGCAGCTAAAGGAGTATGCGCCCGCATCGAGATAGCGCAGTCAGCACCAACGCAGCAGGATGACATCGGACACCTTGCCAGACCCAGGAATTCCAGCCAGTCGGACAACGTGACGATCGGACCATCGTTGCTAGGTGCCAAGTTAGCACTTTTAGGGCAAAAGGCAGGGCAGTTAGGTCTTTGATTAAAACTGAATAAATCACTTCGTATCCAGTAGTCAGACCGTGTAGTTCGTGTGTTCTTTTTTTTAAAAAAAACCTCCCGATAGATGAAAACTTAAGTTATATATTATAATTTTACGGTATTCTGTTGATGGAAAAATGTACAGGCAAATGAAAGTAAATGACTTTTGACAGACATCCATACTTTTACTGTAGGGCTTTACCATTTTGTGGTCCTCCTCATTGTTCTTCATCAGCAGTTCTTTCGGTCGATGCGTCGTTGACTCTGGAAACCAACCGTTTCGTGATGAGTGTGTGAGTGTTGACCACGTTTTGCGTCCATTGCTGCAATGGAAGAACTCTGCCTCCCGTTGGCGATACTGACATATCATGAAACCACTGGAAGCGCATCTCGTTCTGATGGAGGAGGCTTATTGGATAGTGGAAGATAAAGGGTTTATTGTGTTGTACCTTTTGACTATATTTTTAAGATTTATTGTACAGTTAACAAGAATCCTCGGCTCTGTAAAAATAATGAATTAATTAAACTGACGTGCAATATTTTTCGATTCTCATTGACGAAAACCATATTGAAATGCTGCCTGACAAAATATTATGTCAATATTCTATGACAGACTAAGTAGTCCTGTAAATAGTTTGTTACTGGTTGAGATTGTCGCAGACTGTTTCTTCATTGAGCAACAAGTTTTTTCGATTCCCGTGTTGTTGTGCTTGTTGGAATAAATACCATATCTAACGACGAACACAGTGGTTTTAGGTATCCTTCCTCGTCAAAAGAAGAGACTGCAAAGTTTTGCGGACATAGCGCAGGAGAGCTGCAGGATCACCGGATATCAATATTATTGTGTTTCCAGTTTTATAAGAAGAATGGCTGCGTGCTTTAAAATTTTAATCCTCACTTGGTGCTTTGGAAATCTGAATTAAATAGCATATTATTCTTGATGGAGCATACCGTAATTAAGCAATTATGGTCGATCTTCGATGTCGACGGGGTTTGACTATCGGCCGAGATAGAAGACCTAAAACGGCGGCGGCGTTATGTTGTGTTCCGGCATGTTTCACAGTCCCTGCAAATTATGTGGGAACGGACAGCAAGTTAATGACCGCTGGTTCTACCTACTGTGAGGGAATGATTTTTTTTTATAAAAGTACGTTTATTTGTCGATTGTTTGTTTAGGAAAAATTATTCACATAATTATTTAAACCTCGACTCCAAAATTACATTTCAGTTCATCTATATCTATCCTGCCATTACAGCTATCAATGAAGATGATATAGGGTAGAAAACTACTTCGGCCTAATCGCCCATTTTGGGCCTATCGAGCAGACAACTTCAAACAAATCCATGCTTTCAGAGTTAACATGTCGATTATGCGTTTGGTAAGATACTTTAGTTAATAAGGTAGGTATGGTAAGGTATGAAGGTTTGCACCCATTATTCTCAAAAACAAAAGAAGCGCTCGGACCGAATCAATTTTTATCTTCATCCGATAGGCCGAAGTGAATTCAGCAGCTATATTCTTCAACACACGGGGCCAGTTGATTGCTGGATTTGCTGTTTCGACTTTCGGTTTAGATGTACGTTCATTGCCTGCAAGTACGGATTAATGAGTGATGCCTTACACTTGAACGCTGGTAGTTGTAAGTTGAGACCGCCATCCTCCCGTTTTCGCGCTAGCTGCTCCATCGGAATGGTCGCACATGTACCACGGAATAGGTAGCTCCGCATGGTAGCCGTCAGCTTCGCCACGTGTGCCGCCGTTGGATTTAGATTTGCTGCTATTTACCACATCTTCGATGATAGGAAGGTATTTAACAGTGTTACCTTTTGATGTAAGGATAGGCTGCGTAACGAGTGTAGCCACACGTGCCGAGTGAAGTTTGTCTCGAGTAGGTCCCAAATTCATTTTGGTCATTACCCGCACCGAGTTGGCGAAAATAACTCCGAGAATTTTGATGGTGTTTTCGGTACAAAGCCACGGCACAGTGATCGGGTTGTTATTGAGGCCGACGTCGATTGCCGTTGTGTTAGCTTCATTCAAGCGCGCTTCTGCTACCCTTTTTGTAGATTGGGCATACGACACCTTCCATCCACTCCTCCGGTAATATATCCTCCTCCCAAATCTTGGCAATTACCCAGTGCAGCGCTCTAGCCAGTGCTTCACTACCGTATTTTAATAGCTCACTTGGTAGTTGATCTACACCAATTGCTTTGTAGTTCTTCGGCCGACCGATCTCCTCCACAATTTCTTGAAAATCAGGGGCCGGTAGCCTGTCGTCTTCTGCGCGTGCTCCAAGGTCTGTTGCCGTGCCACCTTCGTTTTCTGCTGCATCACCGTTGAGGTGCTCGTCATAGTACTGCTTCCACCTCTCAATCACCTCACACTCGTTCGTGAGAAGGTTACCGTCCAAGTCCTTGCACATATCGGCTTGCGGCACGTAGCCTTTGCGCGAACTATTTAGCTTCTCGTAGAACTTCCGCGTGTCGTTTACGCGGCACAGATTTTCCATCGCCTCGCGATCTCGGTCTTCCTGCTGACGCTTCTTCCTTCGGAAAACCGAGTTTTGTCTGTTCCGCGCTTGTCTGTATCGCTCCACATTCAATCTCGTGCGGTGTTGCAGCATTCTCGCCCGTGCTGCATTCTTCTCCTCTACTAACAGTTTGCATTCGCCGTCACACCAGTCATTTCTTCGGTCCGGGATCACAGTACCTAGTGCGCTGCAGCAGTACTACCTATGGCTGAACGGATGTCCTTCCAGCCATCTTCAAGAGTAGCTGCGCCAAGCTGCGCCAAGCTACTCTTCCGTGGGTAGTGCAACTTCCAGCTGCTGCGCGTAGTCCTGGGCAACTGTGGCGTCCCGTAGTTGCTCAATGTTGGGTCGCGGCGTTCGACTTCGACGAGTGTTATGAACCGTCGACAGTTTTGAGCGCATGCATACTGCAACTAGGTAGTGGTCCGAATCTATGTTCGCACTGTGGTACGTGCGGACGTTGATAATGTCGGAGAAGAATTTCCCCTCGATTAGAACGTGATCGATTTAGTTTTCTGTGTGTTGGTCAGGTGATCTCCAGGTGGCTTTGTGGATATCCTTGCGGGGGAAAAAGGTACTTCGAACTACCATACCCCGGGAGGCTGCAAAGTTCACGCATTGTTGGCCATTGTCGTTCGATACGGCATGTAGACTGTTTGGCCCGATTGCCGGTCTATACAATGCCTCCCGTCCTACCTGAGCGTTCATGTCGCCGATGACGATTTTGACGTCCCGTTGCGAACAGCCGTCGTACACCTGCTCCAGCTGCGCATAGAACGCTTCTTTCTCGTCGTCGGGTCTCCCTTCGTGTGGGCAGTGCACGTTGATGATGCTATAGTTGAAGAAACGGCCCTTAATCCTCAACTTGCACATCCTCGCATTGATCGGCAGCACTACAAAGCCGGTTCCCAGCTCGTTGGTGGTGCCACAGCTCTGGTAGAAAGTAGCCGCTCGATGCCCGCTTTTCCATACCTTTTGTCCCGTCCAGCAAAGTTCCTGCAGTGCTACGACTTCATAGTTGCGTGGTTGAAGTTCGTCATAGATTAATCTATCGCAACCCGGGAAGCCGAGCGATTTGCGGTTCCATGTTCCGAGTTTCCAATTGTAGTCCTTATTTCGTCGCGTAGGTCTGGGCCGATTGTTCCGATGCGTATTTCTTTCTTCGGTATTTGCAACTTTGTTTTTTTTTTCAGGGCGGCTTGTTGGGCCTGCCCCAACCCACTGTCTCGCCGGGGGACCATCGTGCACAGCTCTGTTTAGAGTCCCACGCTGGCACTAGGACGGTGATCAGCCGCTCCTAACATGGAGAATAGACGCCGTTTTAAGCCGCACCTCCATGGTGAACAGACGCTCGGATTTGGTGAAGCATTTCCTCTATCACCGTACTATGGTTACCGCGCCAGTGTTCGCGTCGCACCTCTTCACTTTGCTATTGCCGGACTGGCAACATTGCCCAGGCTACGCCACCCAGCTGTGTCCATGTTTCAGCTGGTAGTCTTTTGTTATCATATGACTCGAGGAGGCATGGAGTAGGAACTTGTGAGGACCAGGGCTAGGTATTCCGCTCCTTCCAGGTTGTCAACTCACCATTTTGTAGCCCTTGCACAGGCAGGCTTCAAAGCTCCGGAAGTCAAATATACAATAGCTGCCAACTGCTTGCTTTTCGTCAGGCAATCCTAAACGACCTACACGTAGCACACGTTGGCATCGTCAAAATGAAAGCTCTGGCACGATCCTACGTTTATTGGCCTGGAATCGATTCGGACATCGAGAGAACTGCGAAGCCATGTCCGGAATGCACCCGTCATGCAGCGGCACCACCGAAGTTCAGCGGCCACCATTGGGAATATCTGAACGGTCCATGGGCACGTATCCACGTTGATTACGCTGGCCCCGTAGCAGGTTCAATGCTTCTAATAATTGTCGACGCATTCAGCAAATGGTTCGAAGTTAAAATCACCTCTTCCACAACAGCAACTGCCACTATCAAGATTCTTGACGGACTCTTTGCGGCGTATGGAGCACCTGTAACACTTGTGTCGGACAACGCTCCGCAGTTTACTGCAGTGGAGTTCAAGGCGTTCCTAGAGAAGAGTGAAGTTAAGAACCACAAACTTTCAGCTCCCTACCATCCGGCAACAAATGGTCAGGCCCTAGGCGAGTAAGAGAGGTGCCACAGTCGGAAGAAGTGTTAGTTTGTTTACTAAAATGAACCATGCCCATTTTGTTATGGCAAGTTTGCTATAAGAAATGCTCCTCGTATTTATTAGCGAAATTCACATCAAAGATTGATTAATTCAGTAGAAAATCAGTTTGGCACGGCATTTGTGACCAGCATACACCTTCCGGTCGTATGAAACAGGTCAAAAACTGTCCAAATACGCAAATAATTTTTTTTTTTTTTTGAATTGCTGTATGGCAAAATAGTGAACTTTTCGTGAATATTAACGGCAAAGAACTCACCAACACTGGGAGATCGTGAGTTCCTGCCCACCTGTCTTAAAAACATCTCGCTGCAGCAGTACCGTAAAATTCCTCACAGTGAAACAGGAGATCCACCAGCGAAATTGTTTCTGGGGCGAAACATCCGAACAAGATTTGGACCTCGTCCGAGATGGAAAATGACAGGTGGACAGGAACTCACGGTCTCCCAGTGTTGGTGAGTTCTTTTCCGTTAATGTTCACGAAAAGTCACTAGTTTGCCATACAGAAATTCATAACAAAAAAAAATTATTTGCGTTTTTGGACAGTTTTTGACCTGTTTCATACGACCGGAAGGTATATCCTGGTCACAAATGCCGTGCCAAACTGATTTCCTACCCAATTAATCAATCTTTGATGTGAATTTCGCTAATAAACATGAGGAGCATTTCTTATAGCAAAACTTGCCATAACAAAATGGGCATAATTCATTTTAGTAAACAAACTAATACTTCTTCCTTGTGTGTCACCTTTCATTCAGCTCCTAGGACCTAGGACCTCGTCAGACCACAAGATACCAGCACGAAAATTTCCGAGAAGCAACGAGCAGCTTTTCAGTCTTCGTTCCGTGCATTCGCTCCAGGAGAACGAGTTTACTTTCTCTCGGGAAATGCGCGGATGGACAAGTGGATTCCAGGAACTATTTTCGCTCGATGGAGAGATTTGCACTACGAGATTGTTTTCAACGGAAGGCATCTAAACCGCCATACTGATCAGATACGATGTTTTCACAACGACAACGAGTTAACACGCACACCATCAAGCGAAACAAGGTATTCGACTTTGGCATCAGGTAAGCCATCAGGTCGCGCTCATTTTTACGGTAACATACTGACGTCACAAGAGCCGACAGACAACGAAGAATCCAGTGCAACGTCCGAAAGTTCTTCTGATTCAACTGATTCGTCCGATGAACCGTTCCTGTCGCCAAGTAGCAGCCCGGATCGACGTCGAGAGATCTCTCCACCTGCATTACGCCGATCGATCAGACAACGACGTCCCCCTCGAAGATATTCTCCGTAGCTTTTGTATTTCTTTCTTGGAGGAGGGAGGAAATATTATGTATGTTCATTTCATTTTCCAGGTACCGTTTTCAATCAGTGTATGCTACGTTTTCAGTCAATAGAAGAATATAAAAACCGCGAGTTCGATTTCGAATGGCTTTATGTTGAAAGCTATATTTCTATGTAAAGTCCCAATCAATTAAGTTAATTCTCACGTTAGTAGAACCGGTTTATTACTTTTCTCACAGAAACACCCACTGATACGTAATAACAGTCCCTTGAATTCTCTTCATCAACTTTCTCTTTGAAATAAATACTACAAATTTGATACGCTTACAAATAAAAAACGGAAAGAGTTAAGATAATGGATGATTGATCAATTAAAAGAACTAAATCTCGATAACTTTTTCAAAGGGACGTATCAGATTTTGTAAACAATGCATTTGATCGTCGATTTGGCGTAACTGGTAGCTCGCCCACGCATGTTAACACTACCATCAGATAGGGGAAATTTTCCCCTACCTGTTAGTGGTGTTAGTAAGCGTGTGTGAGCTACCAGTTACGCCAAATCGATGATCAAATACATTGTTTACAAAAGCTGATACGTCCCTTTGAAAAAGTTATCGAGAAATGTTTACATTTGTTCCGTCCACTAGCGGTCCTACGTCAAGCTTCCGTTCATGTTCTACTTTTTTTTTTAGTTATTTTCCCGTAATTGCTCTATGGTTCCCATTTCAGAAAATGTTGAAAGCTTATCACATATGGGTCATTCCGCGCCAAGTGTACACAACACATGAAATTGACCTCTTCCGATTTAGATCAAATTTGTAGGGTATGTTCATTAAAGTTCAAATTTTAAAAAATCGAAAGTTTTATGCTAATCGGACCACCCCTTAGTCAAGGGGCGCATTTTCCATTTTTCGTGATTCTATGGAAAGCACTGCCTTCTTTTGTTTATATCTCCGGAACAAATAAAGCTACAAATTGCATTAGGTATTGTTTTAATAAGAAAATTAGACAAAAAATCTTAATCTGTAACTTTTGTTTCTGTACAGTGTTGCCAAATATTTTTTTATTTTTGTTTGAAAACTTTATACGCAGTTTTCTCATAATACGTGTCATTTAATTTTCATTTTAAGGACACCATCGTGTTCTTCATCCTTTTTTACATAAGAAACACTTAACGACAAAAAGTAATTTGCGTAGTTCCTGAGATATTGCATTTTGAATGAACGAAGTCATAAATTATGAGGGTAAAACATCTCTGGCGCATCTGTCTAGTTCATTAGAAGTTTGCAGATACCGAGTTGGCACCTTGTGTTAAACACATCAAAATCACTCTTCGACACTCTTCGACACACTCAAACACCCTTCAACCGCCATGAGAACCAATTTTTCAATCTTTTCTAGCAGCACTGCCATTCATTTGATGCCCTTTTTTGTTTTTGTTGATTTTTTTCCTGAAGGAGGGACCTCTAAAAATCGGTAAGATTTCACAAAAAAACTGATCGGGACACCGAAGTAGCCCTCACTCCCACAATTAGGAAAGAAGATTCAACATCAAGCTCAACATTGAAAAAACAGACAATTTCAACCTCTTACAAGCTAGAATATCAGCATTCCTAGTTGAGCATTCAGTCGGTTAACAACGTCCCGGTTTCAGTTGCGCGGCATCTAGTTTTTTTTTTCGGTGTTTTTTTCCGCCCGAGCGGTTTTTTTCACCCCCCATTGGGTGCCCCAAGTGACCAGTGTCCAACAGAGGATGTGGAATTCCATCGGCCGAGCCCCTTGGAGTTACCATCCAGCTTTAATTCATCCCGGTAATCCATCACCGGAGTTAACGGCGTCGTCAAGTCCATCATTTTTTCACGCCGTCGCGAGGGTGTGCAAGTGATAGTGAAGCGTGTCGTATCACCAGCTTGCCGACCCACCAACACCAACCATCACCACCGGATAGCAGCGTGGACCAACACCAACGCACCACGTGATAACAGCGTTTCCACACACACGCTTTGTGCCGGTGTAGTTAAGTAGCGAATAAGTTTTATTTATTGCCCCTTTGTTTTAGTTTCCCCTTTCTCCCATACCACGCAAATATTTTCTTCTTCTTCTTCTTTTTCTCTTGTCCCTGTGTGTAGTTGTTTTGTATCTATTGCGGTGGCAGTTGCCCCGCAATGGATGGTAATAGTGATGGCGGGGGGAATACCCTTCCTGCCCTTCCCACTGAAGACGAACTGTCCGACGTGGAAACGTCAGCCACGGTGAAGAAGTACACCGGAACCATCCCGAAGCGGCCCAGGCGAAAACGAGCACCGGAGCCCGTACCGCCTACCCCATCTCCTCCTACCCCACCTAATCCATCGCCACCAACACCACCAGCACCGTCACCCCCCGCACCACCAAACCCGTTTCCCCCTACCCCACCTAATCCCTCTCCCCCCACACCGCCAAAACCGTCTCCCCCTACTCCGCCTAACCCCGCCAAGAAAACAAAAACTGCCCCCCGCCATAAGTCATACCCAGACGCCTCGACAGGCCCATGGGTTGTTTTTTTCCGACCCAAACAAAAACCGCTTAACGTTAACCAGATCGAAAAAGATCTATTCAAACGTTTCTCGTCAGTGACCGACATTTTGAAGGTGAGGCCAGACAAACTGCGCGTCACTGTTGGTAACCGCAAGCAGGCGAATGAGATTGTTGCCTGCGAGCTTTTTACGTTAGAGTACCGCGTTTACATTCCCAGTCGTGACGTGGAAATCGAAGGAGTGGTCACCGAAGCGAGTTTGACCTGTGATGACTTCTTGAAGAGGGGGGTTGGTGTCTTCAAGAACCCCGTTCTTCCAGAAGTCAAGATTCTTGACTGCACCCAAATGCAGTCAGCATCCCTCGACGGGACAAAAAAAATCTATTCGCTGACTGACTCGTTTCGAGTGACTTTCTCCGGATCGACTCTGCCAGATTACGTCCGAATTGGGAGGGTTCGACTTCCTGTGCGGTTGTTTATACCAAGGGTGATGAACTGCACCAAGTGCAAACAATTAGGCCACACCGCCGCCTTCTGCGGCAACAAGCCACGATGCGATCAGTGCGGCGAGAAGCATGCGGAGGGTGCTTGTGGTGCTCCTCCTAAATGTGTTTATTGTTTGGCACCTCCGCATCCTCTCGCAGATTGCCCGAAGTATAAACAGCAAGGAAAAAAAAACTTGAACGGTCTCTGAAGGCGCGCTCTCAGCGTTCCTTTGCGGAGATCTTGAAGACTTTCAATCCTCCTCCCAAAATCACTCCGGAAAAAGAAAACAATAATCCGGTCAATCTTCTCCCAGTTGACGAGGACGACACTGACTCAGAGGGCAATGACGGAAGTCCTTTTGTTTTCAAAGGTCCTTCAAGGAAGCGATCCAAGAATGACTCGCAGAAAACTAAAAAAACTGACTCCCAAGCCCACTTGGATAAATCAAGAGGTCACGGAAATAAACCGAAACCCAATCCACCGGGTTTTAAGCCTGTCGATTATGACAATGAATTTCCGGGGCTTCCGGGAACATCTAAAACCCCAGATGTCCCAGTTTTGCAACCAGAACAGCAGAACGCCATGTTCACGCTTTCTGGAATTGTGGACAGCATTCTCGATCTGTTCAACATCACTGACCCTCCTCGGAGCATCATTAACATGATGCTTC